ACTGAGGTGCTACTCAAGATCTTACGATAGAGATGAAAAACTAATACACCACATCCTTAGGGTGTGGGGAATCCTTAGAGCATCTCCAACCACAATCTATTTTTAGAGTGTAACATAGAGTTTATAGTAGCTCCTTTCCAATCCTACTCTAAAGTCTATTTTACATTTTAAAAATAAAGTGTGTTAGAGATTGTATAGATAAGCAGACACTAAGAATATGAGTGTTGAAGCAGTTATGATTGCAGGTTTGGCTAGGTCAAAAAAGAAGCTTGAAGCATAGATTTGGAAGTTGAAGATGTGTTTAGTTCTAAGTTGGATTGTTTTCTTTGGTATAATTGTTTACAATTTGTAATACTTAGCAGTTGTTTATTTGCTTTTTATGGAAATTATTAGGGGTATTATATTACCCATGTAATGACATTGTAATTTAATCATAAAACAATGGGTTTACTCATATGGGATCCCAAATTAGATTCATAGTACATTGGATCCACATAATTACCAATATCACTGTTAAGGTATGAGATTGTTGCAACTGAATGCACACATCCATACCCATTTAGTTGTCACACTCTACATGAACAAGTCTTCTTATCTATATCCACAACATAAGACTCTGCCAAATTTCTTGTTTCAAACTGGTTTAAACCAGTAGGTAAAACCTGCCAATACCTGTTTCAATTGTATATAAGTTAGGGTCTATAGTGTAACTACTCAATTCAAATTCAAAGATAAAGGAAATACCTTTGAGCTCTTTTCAACTGATTCAATAGGATTGTAATGGTTGGACATGGTTTATAATCAGGCCATGAACAACCTTTGATGGTCAGATTGTATTGCCTCTCCATAACCTACAACCTAATTTCTTCTAACATTGTGATTATTGGTTTTTTTTCTTGCATCTCTAATGACATTGTTAAAGCTTTCAGATAATCCATTTTCAACTGCATCACACATCCTCCCCTCCTGAAAGAAAGCTCTACACCATGATTTTGGGTTCTTTTCCATAAGGTAATCAAATGTTGTAGGATTAAGTAGTTGTATTTCCTTCATGGCTGCATTGAATAAAGGTTCAGTTGATGCTTTGCATGCCTTCCAAAACATCCTCTCATAATGCACACCACTGAATCTTTTCCTAAAGTTGGCAACAATATGACTTGCACACTGTCTGTGTTCAGCAGTAGGCAATACTTCCTTCACAGCCCAATAGCCCCTACACAAATTAAATTCATCTGTTAAGATAATAGAAATTCATTAACAAAAAATATGAAGTTGTATAGTAAGTGATATACCTTATGTTGATCTGACATCAGGGTTATACCAAAACCATTTTCCATTACTAGATCATCTTTAAGATTCTCCAAAAACCATTTCTAATTTTCTTTGTTTTCCACACACACAACTGCCCATGCTATTGGGAAAATATGATTTTTAGCATCTCTTCCTACGGCACATATCAACTCTCCACTACATAATCCCTTTAAGAAACAACCATCCAGGTTTATTACTCTTCTACAACTGCCTCTCCGACCTTGTTTCAGCCCCTCAAAACATATATAAAACTTACTAAAATATGTCTTCCCATCAGGCATACTGTTGACATCCATTTTGACAGTTGATCCTGGATTGGATCTTCTTATCTCTTCACCATATGACCAAAGCTTGGCATAATGCTCAACTAGTGTGCCTTCAATTAGTTCAATTGCATATTTCTTTTCTCTTCTACACTGTCCCATACTCACATCAATTCCAAATTTTTGTTTTACTTCTTCCTTTAGTAGCCTAACACTCATTTTTTGTTTTTGTAAGAATTGTGATGTGAAATGGCTACCAATCCATGCATAGTTTACAATTGACCCCATTTTAAAATTTCTTGCACAATTATGCTCATCTATAAGAGACTTAATCTGGAAAGATTTTCTTCACTTATCCATGAAGCCCACAATCTAAACTTGCATTGCCCTGAACAACATTTAACTAAAAGCCTCCTACTATCATTTTTTTGTAGCACAATTGATACCCTTTAGAAACAGCATAATTACACAACATATGTTTTAACTGTTTAGGACTTTGAAATCTCATTCCTAACACAGGTTTTTGCTTTTTCCAATGAACATTTTCATTAAAAGCTGTTACCTCCTCATGAATTGGGTCGTGTTCATCCATCTGATCATATGGATCCTCATGAGATGGATCCTCATGAGGTGGACTCTCTGGAGTTGGCTCCTCCTTGGGGCAGAGCTTGTTCAAAAATACATCATTCAAGGTCTTGTTCATTGGAATGCAATCTCCATCTTCAATGTTATCGTCCAAATTACCTTGCACTTGCACTTCATCTAGGTCAATGCCTCCTTCTGTCTCAACATGCAACTCTTGTATTACTTCACCTACACCAGAATACTTGTCGTCGGGGGTGCATACTTCAGCCATCTCATCAACAATCCATTGATGAACATTAACACCAATATGATCCATGTACACAGATATTACACAACCAGAATCATACCCTACTTCGATCAACTCCTGGTAGTCTTTCTCAGTTGCTATTATCCTCAATCCTTCAGGGAACTCAATATCGGGCATGCAAAAGTACAAATCAACGCATGTCTCGTTTGAGAATCTTTGAATGAACAATAGAAATTCGTTTTTGTCCATTCCAGCAAAATCCACATCCTCAAACCTTTGCTCCGCTCCATCTGAGTAACTAATCACTGGATACATCGTAAACAAACCAACAATATGAAGATCTATCTTCATGTAGACGGCCATAGCAAGAATCCAAGACACTTTTTTTCGATGAACAGTAGAAGAAAAAAGAAGAAAGGGGTAGATGAAACCGAGTAAAGAACATAATTTCTTGCAGAGGAAGGGTTGGTCTCATTTATCGATACACGTATACGTGGCATGTGATTTGGAGATATGACCTGGCTTTTTTTAATTACATGTCGAAGAGAACCTGATGATTGGGATTGGGGTCACCGAGTGACCCCTTCACTTTTTAGAAAATGGCCTTATCAGCCGGTTAAATGTTAATTCATGCCCCTATAAAGCCAAAAAATAACATAAGGGACTTTTTAAACCAAAACATGTAAGTTCGTGGGGCTTCAGTGACATTTTCCCATTCATTTTTCTATTTATAGAATGTGAAGCAGAGTCGGTTTAAAGACTTAACTCTATTGTATAGTATACTAATTGTGAGATCCATGTATTATATGAATTAATTTAAAAAAAAATTAAATATAAAGGTCAAAATATTTGAGAACTTTGAATTTATAAGAAAATAAGAAAAATAATGAGTTATTATAATAAATATGTTTTTTATCTTTTAAATTTAAACAAATAATTTAAATAAATAAAACAAACTAATAACCTTTAATTTTAAGAATTTTAAAATTAAAACGTATGTTTATTAATGTTATTGATAGTCATTTATTACTATATTAATTGCAATTATTATATTAAAATATTATGTGGAATTTAATAAAATAGAAAAAATCATAAAATGACGTATGTAAAAAAAATTAATTCAAAATAACCACAAAATGACATTTGACAAATTGAATTAGAATGTGACAAGTGGCAAAAAAAAAATTTCATTTATTAGAGAGGATAAATAAATAAAATACAAGAGAGGATAAATATATTAAATACAGCGGCAAAAATAAAATTAAGTTGAAGATAGGATCTCATCTTTTACATCCCTTTCATCTTTAACAATTATTTGATTCATGTCAATCTCGACATTAGTTTTCTCTTATTGTTTTATCCCTAAACCATTTCATATATAGAAATGTTTATCTTTCACCCCTTTCATTCCATATATTTTTTTTAATATAAAACATCTAAATTAAATTAAATTAATAATAAATCATAAAAAAACAAGATTTCATTAATAGAAAAATTACAATACTTTAAAAATACATCTCATCAATGAACATAAGATGAATAAAATAATAAAATTTACATTTTGTTACAATCCATAACATCGTACATTTCTTCCAAAATATAGAAACTCCAAAGGAGCTTATCTAACTTTTAAATTGGTTAAAGTGGAATCATATTCGGTGAAAATGTAAAGCGAACTTGTGCCCCCTTAATTTAATTTTAACTTTGAACATTTTTTAGATAAATAATAATGCAAAATTCAGGGTAGCTTTACAAAATTTAATCTTGTAAGGTAAAATTCCAAAGAACTCCCCTTCCACTGCCATTCTATCCATTGGACCACAACTTCCCCTTTTTTTTATAGGCATAAAAAGGGTGAAGCCCACTTTATTTTTATGTGTTAAGTTCTTAAAGTTTTAACTGTAAAAACCCTTTTTTTTATAGGCATAAAAAGGGTGAAGCCCACTTTATTTTTATGTGTTAAGTTCTTAAAGTTTTAACTGTAAAAACTAAAAGGTATATAACTTTATGTTTTGATCATGAAACACATTACAATCACAAGTATCGTTTTAGGCATTTTGGCAAAATTCGGCGATTTTAAATCTTTCAGTCATCTACGAATATTATCAAGGGAAAATGACACATTAGTCCAACAAATTATTTCGAATTTATCCATTCAGTCCCAAAACTTTTTTTGGTGTTTTATAGTTACGTAAAGTAGATATGCACCTGATTTTTGGTCATTGCTACGTGATATAGCAGGTTCCAACCAAATAATCAAAATTAAGATTTCCTGTAACACAACCCACTTTGAAGATTCTAACTTCACAAACCTCGTCTCACGGAAGAAACCAAACGACATCCTCCTCTACCTCGATGAGGATTAGACCATTCAATACACCTTTCTCAGTGCTAGGTTTTCCTTGAAAAACAAATTCGACAAAGTTGAAGAGCAAAACCTTCGCAAAAAAAAAAAAAAAAAAAAAAAAAAAAAAAAAACCTTTATGCTCAAGATGAAAAAGAAAGATATGCGAAGCATTTTGCAATCTTATATTCAACATATTTATAGATCCTCGTAAGATATTGAGTCGAGATGTAAGGAACTGAAGCCGTACATGAACTCGGAGACGCTATCACGGTGGAGGTCCGTTCGGTTATTGCTTCCGGCTACCATCGACACAATAACGATGGATTTAGATATGAAAAAGAAGGTAAATTCCGATTTCGAGGCTTTTTTGAAATCCAAACAGTATTATAACCGATTAGGACCAGTTTGGAAGCGGGGCTACCTCTTCTACGGACCATCTGGTACAGAAAGTGTTTCATCACCGCTATGGCCAAATTCTTGTCTTATGATGTTTACGATGTTGACCTCTCAAAAATAGTAGACGATTCTAATAGTAGACGATTCGTCGTGGTTGAAGGTCTGGACCTGTTTATGACTTTGGCAGAGATTATATCCACTAGTACAAAAATTACCTACAGCCACACTTTTCAAAAAACGACCTATGACATTTTTTATTAAAAGTGTGGCCAAATGTCACTAAAAAATCCAGTGACTGCTTTTGGATACATTTAAATTAGTTTATGTGGCCATTGTACAAATAATCAAAACTTTAACCACACTTAATTATACCAAATGTGACAATTATTAGCCACACTCGAACGCTATGACCATATATCACCATCAGCTACGAATACTGGTTAGCATTATGATATATTTTTTATATGAGACAATAGATAAATATATGGTGACATGAGACAATTTTATATGTTTCAATATCATGGTGCCCTTTTAGACATATGAAAGCAAATGTAGCTAAAAGGTGATACATATGGTCACATTAAATATTTGTGTGTCCATAGGGTAGTGTTTACTAGTGACTTAGTAAAAGCAAGAAAACAAGTTACTTTTAGTGGTATATGGTTATGTTCCTTTTATTATGTGTGTCAAAATATAATGAACTGGCTTTAAAAAACAAATATTGTGAGTGTAAGTAGCATTTGGTTATGGTTACAATTATTATGCGTGTCTATAAGTAAATCTAGGTATAGAAGACATCTAATGTCTGATCAGAATAATTATAGTATGGTCATTAAATGTGTGACTAGGATTTTATAATGGTAATAATTTTTGTACCAGTGTATGTCTAAAGTTAAAGAATAGTCTACATAAAACGAAAATATGTTGTTGTAAGTATTTACTAGTGACTTAATAATATATATTATGCTTCGTTTTTTTTATTTTTTTGGGAAAGGGAGACCCTCTGGCAATTTTTATAAAACAAAAAGAAAATGATAGAAAATAAGGAAGAGGGTTAAAAGGGGTCATATGAGACTTTTACTAGTGAGGTAACATGATTAAAGCGAGGGATAATACAAAGTTGGATAGAGAACGAAAGACGTAGGGGTTGTTTGGCAGGATATGAATTTTTAAGATTTGGATTTTTAAGATGTCTGAATTTTTAAGAGGGTCTGAATTCTTAGGATTTGAAATTTTAACATGTTGTTTGGTTGGAACCTCTGAAATTATGTGTTTAATTATAAAAATGACCATTTTACCCTTTGTGTTATTTTTTACTAAATTCAATGTTTATTTTTCTAATTTACAATGCTCTAACTGGAAGAGGTGGAAGTATGATGTTATAATATATAAATCAATAAAAGTACATTGTTATTTCTTACATTTAACCCTTTACAAAAACAATCTTACAATAGATATGAAAACAACCTGAAAAGAAGCATACTAGTACAGAAACACAAAACACAAATTGTGTATATAAATTGCAATTTGATGTTTTTGTTCCTGGAAATTCTACCATGACAACTTTGATGTTGTACAATGCAGATAACGGATTTTTCACCCAGACAGATTCCATATGGAATGAAATTATAAACAATTCTTATAATCTTAATATTGACATAATTTTGGTCCTAATTGACGCTTACATTGAAGGCAGGTTTTTTGATGAGGTAAAATCCAAATTATACATCAACCGGTATCTTACTCCAAAAATAGATTTATGTTCACAATCATATGCTAAACACCTACAAAAAATATTCAAACCAGTAGGTTAATCGAAATGATTCAATCACATAAGCAATGAGTCTAAATGCAACCATCCTATAAATCAAGAAAAGCTTAAACTAATAGATGATTTTAGTAAGGTGGCATCTACATGAAGTATTAAATTGCCATTCAATCTGATGTTGACTGAATGAATAATACACAGTGATAATTGAGTTATAGGGCAAGGCAAAAAAGAAGAAAAAACCGATATATGAACTTATAATCGAATTCATAGCAAAAAAGAATGAACAAATCAATGTATCACTAAGAATCGATTTCAAGGGGGGAAAAAGATTTTTTTTTGATGTATTCAGGAGAAAAACGATTCCAGCAAAAAAAAACAATTTTAGAGTAAGAATGTTTTACCCTGAGAGACTTTGTCGTTGGATTTTGAAGGCGCTGGGAAAGGCATCGGCTTGAATTGGTTAAAGGGCTGGCGGAGGCGGTCATCGGACTGGAGGGCGATGGCCGGAGATGCGAGCGATTTGGAGGAGTGGAGACGGTTGTCGCTGTAAGGCAAGAGAAGTAGATCGCCGACTGTAAGGCAAGAGGTTTCACCAACGCTGACGATGGATGAGTGTGTAGGTCGAACGTTAGTCTCTCGTTGAGGCGGCGTTGTAGGGCATGCTTGGCTAGACAGAAGAAACGAGGAAGAAGAGGTATAATGAAAAATAAGTGTAGGATTTTTAATTTTTAGTGAAAATTTGGAACAAAAAAGTCCAAATATTCTTAAAAAAGATAGATTAAATAATATAATTAGAAAAATTATTGATAAATATTGATTATATAAAATAGATAAAATTATATTATTTTTCTACGGTTTGTCAGAATTCATGTGTTTGAGAACAATTATCAAAATGTTTACATGTTTGTTTATGTTATTTCAACATATTGTGTGGTTGGTTTTTGACAAACGTAAAATAACATTTTAAACATTTTGTAATTAATTTACTCAACGTGATCATTTATGTTCATCACCATACATAATGTTTCCAAAAATAAAAAACTTTATCTGAGATTTCCCTCTCCATCTTATATTTTTAAATGTGGGTATGTGTGTTTGGGTGGGTATGGTTAAATGGCATAGGGGTGTGTGTGTGGCTGTAAATGTATATAAAGGTGGTTTTGGGTAGGGGTGGGTGGATATAGTGATTTGGGATATGGTAGTGTGTTTGTGTTAGTCTATAGGTAAGGATACAAGGTTGTGATGGTCGATGTAAGGTGAGGATGAGGGTCGGGTGGGGTGTGTTTTGTAGGAGTAGCACTTACCAATTAGGAATGAGTGTTAGATTGTTGGGTCTACGGTGTAATATATGTGGAACCATGCATGAGTTAAGACCTTTGTTAAGCTCTTTTTGAGTAGATGGGGCTTAGACTTGACATTTTCGGTAATGGGCCAATGTTTGGGCCTGTTAGGCCATCAGACTTCTGTGTTGGACTTTGGACCAGCATGTTGATCTTTCTTGGACTTTAGGCCCATGATGGGTTTTGGGCACAATTTGGAAGATTGGGCCATACTTGGGCCCTGGTTGCCATTTAGGTTTTGGGCCTTTTGAATAGTTTATATGGGCCTTGGCTTTGGTCAAAGTTAGATAAAGGGTAAAACGGTCTTTTTACCCTGGTTATGGGCTATGTAGCTTAGTCTCTCGTTATGATTTAAGATCTAATTAATAATTGGTTGTTATTGATATTGATAGCATGGGGATTTTACCGAGTAGAGCACAATGCCAGGCGGGGTCCATTATATATTTTATATGTATGATATGTGGTATTCTGGGGAACTCACTAAGCTTTGTGCTTACGGTTTTCAGTTTATGTTTTAGGTACTTCTTGTTCGAAAGAGAAGATCATGGGATGATTGTAGTGCACACACCACCTCGTTCCGCATAGGGAATAAGGCTTTCGCTTTAAGATTATGTCTTAGGGTTTGGGGCTTATGGTTTATGGTTTTCGAGTTAAAGAGTATGGCTTAGGGCTTAGGGTTTATGGCTTAATATGGCTTATCGTTTGGAGTTTATGGATTATAGCTCATGACATATGGCTTACGGCTTAAGTTTTAGGGATTAGGGCTTATTGATTAAGGTTTGTGGCTTTAAGCGTACTTCTTAGAGTTTGGAGCTTAAGTCTTATGGTTTATGGCTTAACTAGTAAGGCTTAGATCTTATGGCTTAAGGCTTATAGTTTATGGATTAATATGTCTTATGGCTCATTACATATGAGTTAAGGGTTAAGTCTTAGGGCTTATGGCTTATGTTGGTGATTTGTTATCATCAATGTTATTTAATGTAATGGGATTAATTTGTTGAGCAAAAGTGACTTAATAAATATTAAACAAGTAACGAAGGTGTGGAGTACACACTTCTATCGTATGTATGTATTCACTACTTACTATGGTTTTATTTGTATTATTTGTAACAACCATTGGAAATGTGTTTTGTCACAAATTGTAAAATTGTTTGTTTGGATTTTGCAAGACCAGATTTTACTAATTATAACTTAATTTTTTATTAAATGTTTTAACACGATAGTATCTAAATTTATGAAAAGTGGGGTGTTACATTTTAGTTTTTTTAATCAAAAATATCAGAGTTCATAATAATTGCAAAACCGATGCCAAATCATATAAAAACTTTAGTGGTTTAAAATGCAATGTTTTAATGTAAGGTATCACGACAAGGGTTCAAGTGCCACACATGTATTGGCCTTTGAAGAGTGTGTTCCATATCCTGGCCTCATTATCTTCGATCTGAACGCACATCAAAATAAGTTAGGTAATCGATTTTTCTAGTGAGATATCTAAGGTTAGCTTATTAGAGTAAGATGATAGAAATCAACTTACTCAGGCCAACACCCCCCCCCCCCCAACATTTGTAAAATAAACACCTTACATATAATGGGGTAGATTTCCCAAAGCTTCCAAAACAAAACAAGCTAAACATTTAGTTAGCAAAATTCAACATTTGGTCTAAAAACATCACGACGGTAAGTAAGCAATAACACCACAACATAATATGCAAGTATGCAACTATTCCTATCATTGTCCATGTTAACAAGTCCACCTCATCAATAGTTTATGGATACTACTTTGGAATCATGGATGGTTAATAAAGGAAAACTCCAATATTTTTGTCTCCAACTCAACAAATACAACGTTGGGCATTATGCAACCATCCACTCAAAGCTTCACAAGAGGTAGTGATCCCACATGTGCAATAGTGAGGGCTATCTAGAAATATAATCATTCACCAACTTAACAACACATAGTTTTCAAATACAACATAGAAAGAATGAAGGACATCCACAATCTCCCATCCTAAAATGTATGTACATAGAAGGATTCCAAGTTAATTTTAAAACAAATCATTAGCTCAAGTGAGAAAAACAACTTTTCAAAATGGTTTTCATGCTATGACCAAGTAATACATATAGTAAACATACTTCATTAAAGAAAAACCAATAAACAAAATAAATATAGAAAACATCAAAGTTTGTAAACAAATATAGAGTATATTAGGGTTGCATGTTCCCCATAACTAAACTTAGTACAAACCCTAGAAAAAAGTATACTTGCCTACATTTGAACTACTCTTCTCCAAGCTCCATTATTCTCAATAAACAACTACATTTATCATTAAGAGTTTTTAAAATATTAATATACCCGTCTAGAATGGTTCTAGTACTTAAGTATCACATAGAGGTAACTATAATTGATTCAACATCCCATTAAGTGACCCGTTAAGCCACTTACAAATACCTTAACTTCAATATATAAATTTTATATTTCCAAAGCATTCCTATGTTATAATATAAACGTACACGAAAATGCTACGTGATTTTGTGTTCGAATGCAAAAGTTATGAAAAAAATAGTTTTTGGTAACAAAGTATAAAATAAATGTAGGGGAGGGCATTATGTAATAATTCTCTTAGGATCATGTGACACGATAGTACATCTATTTCTAAGATATCAACTTTCCTAAATTCAAATTGTAACGCCCCGATTCTCAGGTATTGATTTAATGTGTGAGTTCTTGATTTCAAGGGCTACTCGACGAGTTGATTGCCCTACTCGTCGAGTAGCAGCGGGTTGGTCCACGTATTTTAATGACCTACTTGCCGAGTCCAAGAAGGGACTCGACGAGTAGGAGCTGGCAGATGAAACCCTAAATCTCGGGGTTTTGCACCCTATTTAAAGGATCATCGCCCCCCCCCCCCCCCTTTACTGCCCCTTGTCCCTCTTAAACCCTAAATCGTGTGTGTGTGTGTGTTCTTTGGTGTGTTCAACTTTGGAGGAGGAACTTTGGAGAAGGAAACACTTGGGGAAGCAAGGAAATCAAGGCTAGGAACTCGTGGGGAGCTAAGAGATTCATCAGTTGTCACTCTCTGGAAGGTATTAAGCTGTTCCTTTAGCTCATCTCTCTTTTAACCTCTTTTGGATGGTTTTATGAAAGGCTCCCCATGTTTAAGCTAAGATCTGAAGTTATAACTTCAGATCTGGACTCCCTTTGACCTCTAGATCCATAAAGTCATCAGCCTTGCCTAGTAGGAGCCTTCCCTCAAGTGTGAGACTTCATTGCAAGCTTAGTTTTTCCATTTAAGGGTCTTAAAGCTTTTCATGCACGTAAAGTTTGCGACTTTACGTGATAAACATGTCCTAGAAGCTTGGATCTGTAATCTGGAACCTTGCCATGGCTTAAAAAGCGTATGCATGGATAAAGGTGTGCAAGGACTCGGCGAGTTGGATGAACAACTCGGCGAGCCCGTTGAAGATGGTCATGAACTCGACGAGTTGAATGAACAACTCGGTGAGTCCGTTGAAGATCTGCCTTGAACTCGGCGAGTCATTCGAAGACTCGTCGATTCGGCTAGGGTTTCTCCCAATTCTTGGACACATATGAACTCGGTGAGTTAAAGGGGAACTCGACGAGCCAATCAAGGATTTCACGACTTCTCGAGCTCAGGAAGGACTCGATGAGTCGGTGAACTGCACTCGACGAGTCGAGTCAACGTGGACTGTTGACTTTGACTGTGGACTTTGACTTGGACCAAGGGTTGACCAGTTGACTTCTGAGGGTATTTTGGTAATTGGGAGATTTATGAAAAAGGGTTTTATGGTAACTATAGGTGGTGGAGCTCGTGTTGGTGATCCGGGAGTTGAGCTTTTTAGTTTCAGACAACAGTTGCAAGGTGAGTTATCCTCACTATACTAAGGGGTCTAAGGCACCAAGACCGGCCCATTGGGTGTGTTATCCTAGCAGTATTGGATGTTGAGTATGAGTCAGTGTTGCATGTTAGTGGTTATTCCAGTTAGGTGGATCTGTAGGACTACCTACGATTTTATATGATTATTGCATGCTCAGTAGTTATGTTATATGTTACATGTTATGTGGCATGGGTTGAGGTTGTACTGCTCCGTACGGTAGCCAACAAACCCTAGAGTATTCCAAATATGATCTGTGGGCCCGGTAGGCATTCCAGACTCATACAGAGGACTCGAGAGCATTCCAGATATGAGCTGAGGGCCCGGTAG